GAAAGCAGCTACAGCGGTCAAATGACTTGGAGGCCTTGGGTGGGTGTGGAAGTCAGAACTGTTTCGGTCTTTGTTTTCCAGCTTTAAAGTTTGAACCATTGCATCATGTATTCACTGGTGTTCATCAACTCACCTCAGAAAGAGCGTAACACAAGCCCATTCATGCCCCCATGAGTTAGCCAAGATGTGTGGCCTTCAAAGCTACCACAGCCAGGAATGGGTATTTCTCTCTTTGAGGAAGGTGGGGCCAAAGTAGGATGAGTGATGATGAGACTGGGCTCGGGGCTCAGCTTTAGTCTGAGACAGTGGCACAAAGCTGCCAGGATCCAGGAAGCATCTGGGAGGAAGTTGTAATAGTCTGCCCCAGGGCTTAACCTCTCAGCAGTTTCTCTGTGATGCCTAACTTACAAAAAAAATGACTCAAGTTTTCACAGATGCCCAGCAAGTTTCCATAGAAAGGTCAATATGCCTGTGAGACTTCCATCCTCTGCCCTTTCCAGGGAGCCACAGAGACCCCTTCCCCCTACAGACAGCCCTTCCAGAGGCAGACTGAACCTGTTTTCTTCTGTGTTCTTGAGCACTGGGCATCTACTGTCTTCTGTACTCCACTCTTCAGGTACATCAGTCACAGATAACCTCTCTGCAGGTTGGGAGATGTTTTTTTCTGTGGTCTCAAAAAGACTATCTAGAGGAGGGTAGGTACTGGAGAGATAGTCCAGGGGTTATGAGCACTGGCTGTTTTTACAGAGGCCCCAGGTTCAGGTTTTGGTACCCATGTGACTGCTCACAGCCATCTGTAATTGTAGTTTCAGAGAATCTCTCGCCCTCTTCTGGCTTCTGCAGGCACTGCATCAACAATCGGGCAAAAACTCATAAAAATTTAAAAGTACACATAAAAAATTTTAAAATCTTTTTAAAAATAAAAAGGCCAGCTGGGTGTGGTGGCACATACCTGTTATCCTAGTACATGGAAGGCGGAGGAGAGAAAATTATTTGTTTGAGGCTAGCCTAACTTATATAGGAAGTTCAAAGCCAACCTGAGCTACATAGCAAACCTTATCTCAAAAAAGAGTGAGGGAGCCAGGGAGATGGCTCAGTGGATAAGAGTGCTCAATCTGCAAGCATGAACACCTGAGTTTGGACCCCCCACATAAAAGTCTGGCTTGGTTGTGTGGGCCTGTAACCCCAGCCAGCATTGGGAGTGGAGGGCTTGCTGTCCAACCAGCCCAGCTTCGAGGGAGAGGGGGACAGGGACAGAGGGACAACACAGGGATGGGGATGACACGATAAGAGACTCTTTTTTTCAAGGCAATAAGGTAGAGATAGAGAAGACATCTGATTTATTGATCTGGCCTCCCTCCACGTGTGTGTTTATGAGCACACTCACTCATATGTATGTACCATACATATGTATGACAAATATATGCACAACATACAAAGGGAACTGATAAAACCAGGACTTGGATCTAGACACTCTGGTTAATTGCCCATACATAGATTTACCGTACCTTTTATTGAAGGCTTATCCTGGACCAGGCACACATTATTATTCCCATTTTTCAGATGAGTAGACTGAATTTCCATATGCTCACGCCATTTCTTAGGCATACAGTTGACAGCCCAAGTCTGCTGGACCTCTGTTCTTCACTGATTGCCTTCAAGACTGAAGTCTGATCCTGCTGCCTTCTAGCTGTTGGGACTTTCTCTCTCTGAAGCTGTTTCCTGGGGCAGTTCAAGGCACCCTCCATCCCTATACCTCCTACAACCTCTTATTTACTTAGTCGATGGGTTGGAACCTGTAATACCTATCTTACAGGTGATATTATTTCCCAGGACTGGGAAAGAAAACCCTTAGTTGAGTGTCTCCAGCAGAGTGGGTGTTTGAAGCATGTCCTTGCCTGCCTGAACTCCTGCCCCTCGGTTGTATTCTGCTTCCTGCTGAATGTGGGTTGGAGCTGATATGTCTGGAATATGCAGCCTGCGGGGGAGGCCGAGACACCCATTAATACGTGATTGCTGGCTGTTTGATTGTTGGCACTGTCCCCTCAGAATAGATGGACAGCCTAGATACTGAGATACTAGTATCCAGCACCATGTACTAGTGGGAAGTACCAGGAGACAGGGCTGCCAGTGTTTAAGATGATTTAGTCTTTATCTTATATCTGTCATTCCTGGTCTTTCTACGATTAAGGAAATGCAAAATTGCTCAGAAAAGCCTGCAAAGGTATGCAATAGAATAAAAGATAGGGCCACTGGATGTTTCTCAAGGGTCCTGGGACCCTCTGGAATAGAATCAAGCCCAGGTCCCTTTTTTCCCTTCCTCCCCTAAGCCAAGTGTGTTAGCCCAGGACTCCTTAGAGAGGATATTGTCAAGAAGGCAGGGCCAGCTCCAAGCAGTCTTTGCTTTCCCACTCGCACATTCCAGCTTTCCAAGAGGATCCTGCCTGAATGTGTGTGCTCTGGGGCTCCTGAAAGCTGACACTGGACTCTGTGGGCTGCAGGTGGCTTGTAATGGTTGTTAAGCCCTGTTGCCCCTCCCACTGACTTCATCCACCTCCATAAGCTCTGCCAGGTTCCCAGCTTCACATGGTGGAATCATTCTACAGGAAACCGAAATGTGTTGCCCCAGAAGATGCCTTGTGGATATAAATACTTTTGAACAAAGAGGCAATTTAAAAGTACCAAAAGAAAAAAAATACTAAAAGAACCAGGCATGTGCACACATTTAATCCCAGTGCTCCTAGGACAACTCTGAGTTCAAGACCAGCCTGGTCTACAAGGCTATACAGGACGACTTTGCCTTTAAAAAAAGGAAAGAAAAAGGTGAGGGAATATAAAGTCAGCAGGTGCAAGGCCTGGATTCAGTACCTAGCACCAAAAAAATAAAAATGAATGGATGGGTATAGATGCGAATGTAGGGACTGGAGAGGTGGTTGGGTTAGAACAGAAAAGGGAGGAGGCTCTTTCTGCCCTCCCAGCTTTCCCCCTCACAGGCTGTGAATTCTCCTTTCTGAAAGCCACGCTGTCAGTAAAGAAATCTCACTGCATTAGTTTGCTCCCTGGATGTACATCCACAGTTTCCTGCTTCCCTTTGTCTTGTCCCTTTGAACTGCACTGTTCATTGTTGAGGAAGGCATGTAAAGTTCTATCTAAGCCACACGGAGGCTTCGCCCATGTGACACATACTGAATACGTTAACAAGCTTGTTTTTGTCCTCTTACTCTGTCTTTTATTACAGGTCTGTCTGGACTACAAGCTTTGGCTGTTTGGGGGAGGGGGTGTTTCTCCCCCCACAAGCATGCATCCTGCCTTCTATCTGGCTTTGTTTCTCAGCCTTCTGCTCCTTGAGTCCACCCCTTGTGGCATGTCCTTGCAGTTGAGTCATTCCAAACGTGATGACACCACAGTGTTTCTGTCCGAGCTGCTTTCGTGGGCCATTTCCAGTTGTAGCAGTGATGAATAGTGCTGCTGTGAACATCTTATCATGCACTTTTGGTTTAAAGGGGAAAGCGCTGGAGATTGAACTCAGGGCTTTGGATATGTGAGACAGTACTCTACTCCTGCGCTGCATGCCCAGCCTGTGAAGAATACATTTTCATTTTTTTCAAATTTTATTATTAATGTGTATGGGTGTTTTGTCTACTTGTGTATGTCTGTGCACCACATGTGTACTTGGTGTTCATGGAGGCCAGAAGAGGGTGTCAGATCTCCTGGAATTAGAGTTACAGATGTGGGTGCTTAGAATGGAACCCAGATCCTCTGAAAGAGCAGCCAGCACTCTTAACTGCCGACCACCTCTCCAGCCCACCAGCCATGCAGGCGTCTGGTTCCTCCCCATCCTCCTCTGGATGTGTGACTCTATACTAAAGCACCTGTCTAGCCCTGGGCTTGCCCCCCAGCAACACAAGGTAAAAGAGTGGGGTCTAAGGGCTAGCTTGGATGTATGCTGGTGACTTGTAGTCAGTAACTCCAACTGCTGGAGAGATGGCTTAGTGGTTAAGAGAACTGGCTGCTCTTCCAAAGGACCCAGGTTCAATTCCCAGAAACCATGTGGTGGTTCACAACCACCGTACCTTTAGTTACAGGGGAATCCGATCCCCTTTTCTTGCCTTTTGGTGTACAGAGATACAAGCAGGCAAAGCACTCATACACATAAAATAAATAAAATGTTTGTGGAGGAAGGAGCAGTAGCCTTGCAGGTAGAATTCAAAAGAAGTGTGACGAACTTAACTTACTAGAAGTTGCAGAAAGTGTCTGTGGGTACAGTGTCACATTATTGGATGCCTACTCTGTGTAGATAGCCTCAAGGAAATCATCTTCCTTTAGCTGTAGCTCAACAAGACTACCTGCAGCTAATGCCATGAATGCTCACAACCTTGGTTCTCTAGCCTAGTGAACAAAGGGGTTGGGCACACAAACTGATGATGAGGTGGTCCTCCCTCCCTCCACCAAACTAAATGTAGGGGCTGGAGAGATAGTTCAATGGTTAAGGGCATATGCTGTCCTTCTAGAAGACCTGAGTTCAGTTCCCAACACTCCCATCAGGAGGCTCACAAGCACCTGGAACTCCAGCTCCAGGTCATCCAGCTCTTTTCTGGCTTTCACGGGCACCTGTGGCATATACTCATACAAATTAAAAAAAATTTTTTAAATAATGGTGAGGGGGCTGGAGAAATGGCTCAGTAGTTAAGAACACCAGCTATTCTTCCAGAGGTCCTGAGTTCGATTCCCAGTAACCACATGATGGCTCACAACCATCTATAGTGAGATCTGGTGCCCTCTTCTGTCCTGCAGGGATACATGCAGACAGAACACTGTATACATAATAAACTTAAAACAAACTAAAATAATGGCAAGGCTACGTATAGAAAGCCCACCTGAAACTTGTAACCACCACCTGGACAAAGAGAATAAACCAAATTCTCAGGTACCACCACTTGGTAGTCCTTAGTCTAGTCAGGGGACTGCTTTCTAATTCCCTCTTTCTCTTTTCCTCACAGTAGCATTGACTGAAAACACTGGAGATGAGATGCATGGTGCAGAGCATGGAGAAGTCACTGTGTTGAACAGTGGGACAGTCCAGGTAAAATGCCATGTCTCTCTTCAGGACAAAAAGAAGGCACTGTGTTCAGATTACTGCTGGCCAACATCCCTGATTGCTATAGTAGTGCACAATAAGTCAACCCTTAACACCCCTCTACCCCCCCCCAACCAGCTGTGAGCATCCACTGCTAATGGGAGCATAGAAGTGGCTGAAGCGTCCCAGTAGGGGGCACTAGAGAGACAACCCATGGGACAGGGAAGAGGCACTTAGCCATACTTCCCATGTCTTCCCTATGTGACTCTAGCTGCCCTGGAACTCACTCTAAATCAGGCTGGCCTCGAACTCACAGAGATACACCTGCTTCTGCTTCCCAAGTGCTGGGATTAAAGACGTGTTCCACCACCACCCAGCTTCCTAGTGCATTTTAGTTTTTTGAATAGTCAAATGTTCAAAACAAAAATATTTAAAGCCATATAACTTTGTCTCCATCTGCTTACACCCCTGCACACCCTTCTTGAGAAGACACAGATAACCACTGTGAGCAGGCCCTCTCCCTTCAGTTTCCTTCTGTATGTCATACATATTTAGAAAAATTATTCCTTGTGTATATACAATAAAAAATAATAGAGGCTTCCACTTCTTTTTTCTTTTTCTTTTTTCTTTTCCCTTATTAGTATTGCCAAGTGTTATTACTGGGGTTTTTTGTTTTGTTTTGTTTTTTAGTTTTTGGGGTTTGTTTGTCTTTTTTTTTTTTTTTTTTTTTTTTTTTTTTTTTTTTGACACAGGGTCCCATGTGTCCTCAAATTGCTAGGTAGTTGAGGATTACTTTTAATTCCTGGACCTTTCCTGGACCTCCTGAGCTCTGGCATTACAGGTGTGTGTCACCACACCTGGCTCCTTCCTCCTTTTGTGTAAAAGCTAACATATTATTCATATCTTTCCCTGCAGGGAGCGAAGGCTGCAGTGAGCTCCCTGCCTAAACGCATCTTACGAAGATACAAGAGAGAGTGGGTGATGCCCCCAATATCAGTCCCTGAGAATGGCAAGGGTCCTTTCCCTCAGAGGCTGAATCAGGTATGACTGTGCCTTCTGCTTGGGCTACACTGGTGTCTGCAGAATTTATTGTCTGAGGACCGAAGAGCAAGGCTTCTTGCTGCCGGGTACCACCAGTTGAGGCACCTGTCACCTTGTCAGCTGTCATTTTGTTTGTTTGTTTCCAGCTCAAATCTAATAAGGACAGAGGCACCAAGATTTTCTACAGCATCACTGGGCCTGGAGCAGACAGTCCCCCTGAGGGTGTCTTCACTATAGAGAAGGAGACAGGCTGGTTGCTGTTGACTATGCCACTGGACAGGGAGAAGATTGTCAAGTATGAGGTAAGTAGCCTTTAGGACCCAAGTAGATGTCTTTTCTGAAGTAGGCCGAGGGCCTGGTGAGGAAAGAACACCAGCTGACCCCAGACCTCTATGCCCACAGCTTTTTGGCCATGCAGTGTCTGAGAATGGTGCCTCTGTGGAGGAGCCCATGAACATCTCCATCGTTGTGACAGACCAGAATGACAACAAGCCCAAGTTCACTCAGGAGACCTTCAGAGGGAGGGTTTCTGAGGGGGAAACACCTGGTAAGATTGGGGAGGGGCTACTCTGGGCCAGCTGGGTCCAGATCTAGTCGGGGATCAGCCTTTTGGAGGTCAGCCTGGAACTTCATGGCTGTGTGTCAGATTCCCTCATCACACTGCCTGTCCACCCCATGAGTCCTGATCAAGCCTGCCCTGTAGCAGAGCTCTGGGCATTCACTTTTGAGAGCTTCCCAGAAGCTCAGGGCTCAGCCAGACTTGGGAGCTGCAGAGACTCAGAGTTAAATCTGGACTTTACCTCTTTACTGGCTGTGACCTTGGGCACATCCGTGACCTCTGAGCTTCAATCCAAATGGGAATCAGCCTTGAAATATTATGAAGGTTAGAATTACCACAGGCCACTGAGGGTGTAGCTCAGGGGTGAACACATGTTGACTGTATGGTAGGCCCTGGACACCAGCACCACACAAAAGATAAAAAGAGTATATGCATTAGGTATGTACTTCTACAGACTGCGGAGCTCCCAGGAGTGTCAGTATGTAACTTACAGAAGCAAAAATAAGTTGCCATCATGAGGGAAGAGAGGAATGGAAGATGAGGGAACAGATACATGTGCCTAAGCTCAGTGACAGGTGCTGGGAACAGGGCTGGGATCCCCTTCTTGTTTGGAGTGGTCTGGACTGATCACCTCTTGGCCTTCTGCCTGAGAGTTTCAGGGATGAGTTGATCAGAGATTACCAATAACAGAAAATCCCACCATTAAAATATTTGTTTTTTATTTGCTTGTTTTGATTTTTTTTTAAGACAAGATCTCCCTATGTAGCCCAGCCTTGCCTCAAACTTGTGATACTCCTGCCTTAGCCTCTTGAGCACAACACTGATAAAAATGTTGGTCTAAAATTTACCATGTAGATCAGGCTGGCCTTGGACTCACAGAAAGCCACCTACCTCTGCCTCCCGAGTGCTGGGGTTTGAGGCATATACCACCATGCCCAGCTTCTAAAAGTCTTTCATTGTTGTTGTATTATCAATTTGTTTGGAACTATGTAGCCTCTGTTGACTTGGAACTTGTTGTGTAGATCAGGCTGGCCTTTGCTTGTTCCTTTCTTTATACTGAGAAAGCCCAGAGGCAATTGATTCAGGTGGCAATGGGACTTCCATTAAAGGTCTAGATCTCCTGTCTTATTATTCTGCTGTTCCTAGGTTAGCTCTTGTGGCTGCTGGAGCCATAGCCATTACATTTGGCAGGAGGCTGAAGAACAGCATGCTAATTTATTATTTGTTTGACACAGGGTCTCACAACTCTGCAGTCCTCCCTCCTCAACCTCCCAAAGTTCTGGGATTACAAGCTTGAGCCACCAGCTATATGAGTACATTCTTTAAAAATAATACAACAAAAAACTTACTCCAAATTTATCAGAAGTCACTAACATGATCACAGCTGTGGCTGGAAGGATAGGAGATATAAGATCTGTCCCCAGAGGCCATGCCCAGCCTAAACTGAGGATCCCACTTCCCAGGAAAGAAAGGCATGATGGCAAGTGGGTTCCAGGAAGCTGGCTGCCACTGAGCAGGGGACAGGTCCTTCTGGTGTGCAGGGCAGAACTTCATGGGGTTCCAGAGTAGGTCAGGCTGACACTGGGCTAAGAGGGAAAGGTGCTCAGTGGTCCCCTCCCCCTGCAGGCACTTCTGTGATGCAAGTAACGGCCACAGATGAGGACGATGCCATCAACACTTACAATGGAGTGGTGGCTTACTCTATCCATAGTCAAGAACCAAAGGAGCCACATGACCTCATGTTCACCATCCACAAAAGCACTGGGACCATTAGTGTCATTTCCAGTGGCCTGGACCGGGAGGTAAGTAGCCTTTGGGAATGTACTACGTGCCAAAGCCTGACTCAGAATAGAAGCTCCTGTGGCTGTCCCAGGGTCAAGGCAGGGCAGTGGCGACCCAACTCAGCTGCATTCATTGGCTTGGCTGCTGCTGCCTTTACTTTTGCTGTCCCATTTTGGGCCAGTGGCCTGCTGCCTATTCTACTGGCTAGATCCCCTGGGAGTGAGGAGGCAGCTGTAAAATGCAGGCTTTAGAGCAGTTCTCATTTCCTGTCCGAATGGCTCATTTAGTTTACATGTTGCCCAGATTTGTCCCTTGTGTGCCACAAAGTAGAACTAGCTCCTTGGATATTGGAATTACCTTCTGTTTCCTAATTAATATCTTTGCCTAGATCCTTGTTCCAAGCCCCTATGTGGAACAGCTGAGGGTTGGGCAGTATGTATACTTGTCCATTCCCTGGAAGTAGGTGACAGGTGGGCCAAGGAATGGAGAAATGGTGAAAGGGGGGACTGCTTCTCCTGCCTCCACACCCCCAGGGGCTTCTGCATCCATACATACCCCCAAGGCAGTGTCTTGCTTCCCAGGTGAGCAGCCCCTCACACTGGACTCAGAGTGGGCTTCCTCTTTGCTCCTTTCTCCCCAGAAAGTCCCTGAGTACACATTGACCATCCAGGCCACAGACATGGATGGAGAGGGCTCTACCACCACAGCAGTGGCCATTGTGGAAATCCTTGATGCCAATGACAATGCTCCTGAGTTTGAGCCACAAAAGGTAAGTTCCTTCCTGCATTCCTCATCACATAAAGGACTGAGGTTGGCTGCTTCTCCAAAACCAAGTCCCAAGTCTGTTACTTACTGGCTGTGTAACCTTAGGCAAACCACTGGGCCATTTTTTTTTTTTTTTGGTTTTTTGAGACAAGGTTTCTCTGGAGACTGTCCTGGAACTAGCTCTTGTAGACCAGGCTGGTCTCGAACTCACAGAGATCCACCAGCCTCTGCCTCCTGAGTGCTGGGATTAAAGGTGTGTACCACCACTGCTCTCTGTGCCCACTTTCTTTTTTTTTTCTTTTTCTTTTTTTTTAAGATTTTATTTATTTATTATGTATACAACATTCTGCTTCCATGTATATCTGCACACCAGAAGAGGGCACCAGATCTCATAATGGATGGTTGTGAGCTACCATGTGGTTGCTGGGAATTGAACTCAGGACGTCTGGAAGAGCAGTCAGTGATCTTAACCATAGAGCCATCTCTCCAGCCCCCATGCCCACTTTCTTAATCTGTGAAATGGAGATAATGATAAATACCTAATAGATAGTTCTGAATTTTCGGTGTAATGATCTGAATACAGATCTTGTCCAGTCTACAGGTAGTTCAGGGCTTGTTGTCATGTGAAAACTTACCTACCTCATATCTATACCTGCCCATAAACTCACATAGCTTCTGGAACAGAAAACTCAATGCCAGGACTGGAGAAATGACTCAGTGGGCAAGAATACTTTCCACTAATCTAAATGACTTGTTTGATCCCGGGACCCACATGGTAGAAGGAGAGAACTGGCTCTGTCCTTTGATTCCATAAGCTTACCGCACATATGTACCCCCCAACCCCCATACATAAATGTAATAAAAAATTAAAAGGCAAAAAAATCTCAACATCAGTTGAAGTGACAGGTACTCCCCTGCATTTGTATACAAATTTCTAGCCTTGGAAGACTATTTAGGCCTCATCAAAAACTTACTCTGTGGAGATGGCTCAGTTTGTAAAGTGTTTGCTATGCAAGCATGGAGACCTGAGGGAAAAGCCAGGTTGTTGGGGAGGTGGAAGTAAGATTCCTGGGGCTCCCTGGCTTGTCTCAGGAAACAAGGTGTACAGCTTCTGGGAAGCAATACCTGAGTTGACCTCTCACCACACACCAAACACACACACACACACACACACACACACACACACACACACACACACCAAACACACACACAAATTGTCATGAAGACTTAGGGTGCCTGTAATTACTGTATTTGGTAGGTAAAGATAGGAGGATCAGGAGTTCAGAGTCATCTTCAACTCCATATCACACTTTTAATCCCAGTGCTCAGGAGGCAGAGGCAGGCAGAACTCTATGAGTTACAGGACAGCCAGGGCTACACAGAGAAACCCTGTCTCAAAAAACAAACAAAAACCTAAAACTTAAAAGAAAGCTGACTCTCCAGTCCTTTGTTATCTGCGCCCAAACTTCCTGGTCAGTCCACCATTTGCCTTAGGACCTCTGCTCTCTGCCCTAGGGAGGGTGGCTCTGCACAGTAGGGGCTTGGACACCCAGACTGGAAGAGTCCAGAGTTTCAGGTCCTTATAGAGAAGGAAAGTGGGTCCAGAGTGTATGGCCTTGTCTCTATGTCTGTTCTGATGCTTGGGATTCTCTCTGTACTTGTGTGTCCTGAAAATTGCTATGGGTTGGTGGTCCAGAAATGTGAAAAGACCATGGGGCTTCCCAGCAGCAGACTAAGAGCTCCCAGCTGATAAAGAGTGGAGCAGCCAGTTGGGATGGCTCCTGTCTTTGCTCTGATTACACTGTGTCCCATCTATCTCCCTCCACAGTATGAGGCCTGGGTGCCTGAGAATGCAGTGGGCCATGAGGTGCAGAGTCTAACAGTGACTGATCTGGATGCCCCCAACTCACCGGCATGGCGTGCCACCTATCGAATTGTGGGAGGTGATGATGGGGACCATTTTACCATCACCACTCACCCAGAAACCAACCAAGGCATCCTGACAACCAAGAAGGTAGGTCTGTTTGGGCTTCTAGGGCAAAGGGACACCTGCCTCAGGCCGCTTCCCTTGGGCCTTCACTGGGGACTGCACCAAGACAGTGTGACCCTTGATACTGTCCCCTTGCTGTTATGCTAAGAACCCCTTATTTAGGTGTGCACCACCACAGCCCGGCTTATTTGGGCTTTTGAAACAGGGTCTGACTGTTTTGGAGCTTGGGAGAGTAGCTCAGGGCCTTTTTCTCTTTTGGTCTTGTTTTTATCAGGATACAGGGTGAGGTTGGGTCAAAAAGTCTTTGGGAGGGCTGGAGAGATGGCTCAGAGGTTAAGAGCACTGACTGTTCTTCCGGAAGTCCTTAGTTAAATTCCCAGCAACCACATGGTGGCTCACAACCATCCCTTAGGAGATCTGGTGCCCTCTTCTGGTGTGCAGATATACATGGAAGCAGAATGTCATAAACATAATAAATAAATAAAATCTTTACAAAAAGTCTTTGGGAACAGGGTGGGGTAATTCATTCTCAGCTATGTAGCCAATCTGAGACCAGCCTGAGCTATGAAGCAACCTAAATAAATGAACACTTGAATAAAATTGAGCCTTTAAGAGGCAAGCATGTGATATGGTGTCACATGTCTGTAATCCCAACATTTAAGAGGATCTTTAACTAGAGGCTAGCATGGGCTACCTTGTGAGTTCAAGGCCAATCTGATCTATACAATTAGATTAGTTTAACAAAAAAGGTAATAATTGATGATTCAAAAGTATGGGCCTAGTTGGGCATGCCTGTAGTCCCAGCACTGGGGAGGCAGAGACAGGCAGATCTCTGTGAGTTTGAGGCCAACCTGGTCTACAAGAGTTAGTTCCAGGTCAGCCAAGGCTGTTACACAGAGAAACCCCGTCTCAAAAACACTATGAATGAATGAATGAATGAATGAATGAATGAATAAATAAATAAATAAATAAATATCTCTGGTTTGATCCCAGGTTTCAGCACCAGAAAAGAATGTAGGCCTAGAGAACAGCTTGGTCTATAAGAGCTAGTTCCAGGACAGCCTCCAATGCCACAGAGAAACCCTATCTCGGAAAAAAAAAAAAAAAAAGAATGTGGGCCTGATTTAGGCATGGTGACATACTTACTTACTAGCACTCAGAAGGTAGAGGCAGGAGGATTTAATGAGTTTGAGGCCAGCCTGGGCTACACAGCAAGACCTTATCTCAAAGAACACAGAAAAGGCCTTGATTTGTCTTTACTTTGTCCTTCTAGTTCACAGTAGAGAATGACTTGGTGTGAGAAGCAGTTCTTAAAACTGCCTCCAATGGGCACAGTAATACACACCTGAAATCCCAGCACTGGGGAGGCAGAGGCAGGAGGATTACTGTAAGTTTGTGGCCAGCCTGGTCTACATAGCAGGCCATTCATTCCAACCTTGCCTTAAAGCAAACAAAATGAGTTAATATATGAATAAAGACTATTTCAGATACATTCTTTTGAAACATTCATTGTAGTAATGCCTCTTATGTTACGGAATGAAGTTCATATGTAACACAATTTAGCCAACTTAGTACTTTCTAGAAAAAATAGACTGGGGTTCTGGCTCAGTGATAGATCACTTGCCTAGTAAATGCAAAGCCCTGGGTTTGATTCCTAGCAGCACCACAAAAATGAAAACTTAAAGGGCTGAAGAGATGGCTCATGGGTTAAGAGCACTGGCTACTCTTCCAGAGGATCCAGGTTCAATTCCCAGCACCCACATGGTAGCTCACATCTGTCTGTAACTCCAGTTCCAGGGTGTCTGACACCCTCACACAGACATAAATGCAGGCAAAACACCAATGCGCATAAAATAAGAAATAAATAAACCTCTTGACTAAAGCTGATACTCAATTAGAAAGTAAAATATAAAAATAAATTCAATTTTCTTTAAAAAAAAAAAAGGGGAAAGAAAACTTAAATAAAGCCAGGTGGTACATATACCTTTAATCTCAAGAGACCTTTGATCTTTGAGTTCAAAGACAGCCTAGTCTTGCATATTGAGTTCCAGGCCAGGGATTGAGAGACAGCTCAATGGCTAAGAGTTCCAGCCCAAGCTGGGCAGTGGTGGCCCATGTCTTTAATCCCAGCACTCAGAAGGCAGAGGCAGGTAGATCTCTGTGAGTTCAAGGCCAGCCTGGTCTACAGAGTGAGTTCCAAGACAGCCAAGGCTGTTACACAGAGAAACTCTATCTTGAAAAACAACAAATGAAGAAAAATTCTAGGACAGTCAAGATTATATAGTAAAACCTTGTGCTGTGTGCGTGCGTGTTATAAGGTTATAGTATATATAGAAAGAGAATTATAGCCGGGCGTTGGTGGCACACGCCTTTTTTCCCAGCACTCGGGAGGCAGAGGCAGGTGGATCTCTGAATTCGAGACCAGCCTGGTCTATAAGAGCTAGTTCCAGGACAGCCTCCAAAGCCACAGAGAAACCCTGTCTCGAAAAACCAAAAAAAAAAAGAGAGAGAGAGAGAGAGAGAGAGAGAATTATAAAACAGAAGGAAAGATTCCTAAATATTTTGACCTGTGAGCTGCGTTTGAGCATAGCCACACCAGAAAGACAGTGAAGTGTTCAGATACTTGGATTTGTTTGTAGAACATTCCAAGGACAGTGGGTCCTGTGTGCTGGCCTGGTGACGAATTACCACCACTGGTATTCAGAACAGAGAATAAACAACTGAAAACATCCTGAACAAATTAAATTATAAGCCCCCTTTCAGAAGCTGCATTCCTTAAGAACTCAGTCTATATTAAAACCACACCAAAGCTTGCTTTATATATTAAACATGTTCTTGGCTCTAATTATAAGCAGGTTTCTCACTCCAGGGAGTATATGAGTGACTATGGGGACTTGGGAAGTCACAAGAGACACAGAGGTGGTTCTTTGTCCATAACATTGGTGTGGTGCAGCATCCTACCCAGACTAGTTACCAGAGGCACCCTGGTCATGGCTAACATGCCCCACAGCTTCTCAGCGGTCCTAGAGAGGACATCACCACCCCATTGGGAATGAACCTTCTAGGCCTCACTAAGTCTTTGGGGTGGTCTGAGAGACCCCAGTAGATTTCCCCTTAGGAAACACAGGGAATTTGGGGAAACATGGAATAGGAGGGGGCAGGATTGTTGCTGGCCAGAGACAGGGTCCCTTCACTGTGACCCTTCTGTCCACAGGCCACCTCACAAAATGCTGCCTCAGCTTCTTCTTCTCTCCTAGGGCTTGGATTTTGAGGCACAGAACCAACACACCCTGTACGTAGAGGTGACCAACGAGGATCCCTTTGTGGTGAAGCTCCCAACTGCCACTGCTACTATAGTGGTCCATGTGGAAGATGTCAATGAGGCCCCTGTGTTTGTCCCACCTTCCAAAGTCATTGAGGCCCAGGAGGGTATCTCTATTGGAGAATTGGTCTGTGTCTATACTGCACAGGACCCAGACAAGGAGGAGCAGAAGATCAGGTACCTGGGGATTGGGCACCAGGTCAGCGAAGTGCATAGGTACACTTGGGTGGCTTGTTCCATTCACTGTAAAGTTTGCTCAGTACTAACACCGTCATCCGTGCACCAGACCCCTCCTTCCTGCCGTCCTCAAGGCTGAAGGCTCTGTGGTTGGTCTGAGGAGGCTCTAAATGATAATAGTAGAATTCTGTGTATGCTAGCTGTGACCCTTCTCAACTTCCTGTCCAGCTATCACATCTTGAGGGACCCAGCTGGCTGGCTAGCCATGGACCCAGACAGTGGCCAGGTCACAGCTGCAGGCATCTTAGATCGTGAAGATGAGCGGTTTGTGAAGAACAACATCTATGAAGTCATGGTTTTGGCCACAGACAATGGTGAGAGCTTTAACTGAGTCCTTCGACGGGCATAATGTGGTACCCAGGGCATATGGCACAGCATATTCCCTCCTTAGCAGGAGATGGTGGGAGAGAGGGGATGGACAAACCAATGTGGATTTAAAGGCCTCACTGCTATGATCCTAATTTTTCTGACTCCCAAGAGATAGGCAAGGTACTGAGGACTCACTCCCTTTTCAGCTTATTTTTAGTTCCCTGAACTCTGAATTGGCCTGTCAGTTTCTACTGATGGTTGACTGACGAGGACAGCTGGGAATACAAGTGATTAGTGTTGTCGCACCATAGCCAAGGGGTCTTACGATATTATGCCATCTTTTGACATTTAGTCAACCAAGGCCTTGAGGCAGGTTTCTCTGAAGCTTCAGGTTTCTTGAAGCTGATCAATAGACAACTGTACTAGCTTGAGGTAGCAAGTAAGTTTTACTCTATGATCTATTATAATAGCTGTCTAAATGTAGTAGCTTTTTGCTATTGATGCATAACATATTGCTATCATTGGTCTTTTTATACAAATATAAATATATATATACACATAAAAAAATTACTATATCATTGGAGCTACCAGATGACAGTGGGTAGTTTATATGTACTTCAATGTTTCAGTGTTATCATATTATCATAAATATGATGCAATGTCTTTTTTTTTTTTTTTTTGGTTTTTTGAGACAGAGTTTCTCTGTGTAGCTGTGGAGCCTATTCTGGCACTCGCTCTGGAGACCAGGCTGGCCTCGAACTCACAGAGATCCACCTGCCTCTGCCTCGATGCAATGTCTTCTATCATAAATTTTTAACTCTGAAAAAAAATGTAGTAGCTTTTGCTACACTGTGATTTGTTAGTAATGTCTGTTGTGGACACAAATTAGAATTATGGTATGATTGTCATAGATCTGCCATTGCCGATTTGATCTGCAATGAATTGAATTTAGTGTATGGAGGAACTTAGTAAGGAATGGGTGTGGTGACCAGAAGCTACGTGGAGGCTGACTGAGTAGGCCTTGGGGGAACTTCACATTGGTTCATTCACCAACTAAGCAAGAGCAGAAGCTGAAAAGGCTGTTTGTGTAATTGTAAACAGGGAACCCGCCCACCACTGGTACTGGGACCCTCCTGCTAACACTTACCGACATCAACGACCATGGTCCACTCCCAGAACCCCGCCAGATCACCATCTGTAACCAAAGCCCTGTGCCTCAAGTACTGAACATCACGGACAAGGACCTGTCCCCCAACTCCTCCCCTTTCCAGGCCCAGCTAACACATGATTCGGACATCTACTGGAGAGCAGAAGTCAGCGAGAAAGGTAACTCAGTGGTGGTAGCAGCAGGCTGCCAGTTCAGCTGGGTGGGTGTCGGTCCCAGAATTAATGGTCTCAAAAATGGCCATCAAGTGCTCTTCATTAGTTTTATATCAGCCTTTGAAACCCCTCAGGAGCCCTAAAAGGTGTCTTCAAAAATATAACAAACAGGACTAGGCATGATTGCACTTAATCCCAGCACTCAGGAAGCAAAAGCAGCAGGTTTCTGTGGGTTCAAGTCCAGCCTGATCTACTTAGTGAGTTCTAGGGCTATATAATAAGACCCTGTCTCAAAAGAACAAGCAAATAGCAACATCCACCATAAAAACACAAACAAAATTAGGTAACCAGGGCTGGAGAGATTTCTCAGTAGTTTCAGGGGCTGGAGAGATGGCTCAGCGATTAAGAATACTAGCTGTCCTTCCAGAGGACACTGGTTCAATTCTCAGCACCCACGTGGTGACTTGAAACCACCTGCAACTCCAGGTCCAGGGACCAGATATGCTTTTCTGGTATCCACAGCACTAGGTATGCATGTGGTACACAGACATACATGCAGGAAAAACACCTGTACACATTAAATAAAATTTAAAAATTAAAAAAGAGCATGTGTTGCTCTTGTAGAAGACCCAGGACCAATTCCCAACACCCACATGGTAGCCCACAACCATCTGTAACTCCAGTGTCAAGGCATCTGGCATCCTCTTCTGACCTCCATGGGCACCAAGCACACACATTGTGCACATGCATACACACAGGCAAAACACACATGCACATACAATAAAATACTTGTTTAAAGATGGGTAACAGATGGCGCACCCTTTAATCCCAGCACTTGGGAGGCAGAGGCAGGCAGATCTCTGTGAGTTCCAGACCAGCCTGGTCTACAAGAGCTAGTTCCAAGACAGCCTCCAAAGCCATAGAGAAACCCTGTCTCAAAAAACAAACAAACAAACAAACAAAAAGACGGGTAACAGGCCAGGCAGTTGTAGCATATATCCTTAATCCCAGCACTCGGGAGGCTAAGGCAGATGGATCTCTGAGTTTGAGACTAGCCTGGTCTACAGAGTGAGTTTCAGGACAGCCAGAGTTATACAGAGAAACCCTGTCTCAAAAAAGATAGGTAACCAATTAATGTGAATATTAACCTATTAAGTTAGCTACTTCTTAGAATAATGTTTGAGACATTGTCTCTGTATAACTCTGGCTGTCCCTAAACTCACTCTGTAGACCAGGCTGGCCTCAAACTCAAGAGATACTCCTGCCTCTACCTTCCAAGTGCTGGGAATAAAGGCATGCATCACTATTCCCTGTTTTATATTCTATTTTTTTGAGGCAAAGAATAGTCTAGTAGCTGATGATAGCAAGAATATCAGTCCAATATCACATGACTTACCAGAACCTCACATTTTGCTAATACTATAATTGCTTTCTTCTTTGTTTTTAATAAAATGACGACCAAGCATGGCAACTCACTCCTGTAATCTCAGCACTCAGAAGACTGAGGCAAGTGAATTGCCATGAGTTTGACACCAACCCAAACTACAGAGTAAAACTCTTATCTTATAAAAATAATTTATTAATTAATTTTAAAGTGATGAATTAATTGGGGATGGAGCGATGACTCAGTGGTTGAGAGCACTGGCTGTTCTTCCAGCGGACCAGGCTCAATTCCCAGCAACCACATGGCAGCTCACACCTGTCTGTAACCACAGTTCCAGGGGATGCAGCACTGCTCTCTTCTGGCCTCCAAGAGCATCAGACACACACGTGGTGCACAGATGTACAGACACATACATGCAGGTAAAATACTCATACACATTAAAAAAAGAGAAAGAGATGAATTAATTCATTTTGTGGGGTAGCCAGATTTCTCAGAGGGTAAAAGAGTTGCACAACTTGGCAGACCTGAGTTTGACTCCCAGAATGCAGAGGTGGAAGAAGGAGACTGATTCCCAAAAGACTCTTCTGTTCTTCACTTGTGTAACATAACACACACATGCCCCAGCCCCCACACACACCCCAGCAACAACAGTAACACAACAGTAATACGATGGTAAAGAAAAGGTAACTACAAATGAAGTAATTTTTGTAACCCAATACTCTTTCTCACAATGTTAAGTTTTACTTTAGCCAGAGTTTTGGAGACATCTTGTTTGTTTTGTTTTGCTTTTTTGCTCTGGGGCTTGAACCCAGAGCCTCGTGGATGCTAAGCAGGCACTCCATCACAGCGCTACACTTAGACAAAGACTGCCTCTTGCTCATCAGTGCTGAGCTCTTCTCAATCCTGTATCATCTGATACCCAGAGCACACCACATATGACATCCCTCGACTAATACATTATCTGTCTCTCCAGGAGACACGGTGGCTTTGTCCCTGAAGAAGTTCCTGAAGCAAGACACATATGATTTGCACCTTTCTCTGTCTGACCATGGCAACAGGGAACAGCTAACCATGATCAGGGCCAAAGTGTGTGACTGCCATGGCCACGTGGTGAACTGCCCCGACCCCTGGAAGGGTGGTTTCATCCTCCCCATCCTGGGTGCTGTCCTGGCTCTGCTGAGTGAGTACCATTTGCCTCCATGTGCAACTGGGTAGTGAAGAGACCTGATTTTTCTCAAAATTTCTGAGACTAAGAGGACATCCAATATTTTTCATCTATTTCTTTCTCTTTTTAAAAAAGTTTTATGTGTATGAGTGTTTTTGCCTGAATGTATGTACAATGAATGTGTGTCTGTACAAGCTATAATGGGTTTACATAGCCTGGAACTGGAGCTGTAAACAGCTCTGAGCTTCCATGTAGATGCTGGGGATTGAACCCAGTACTCTGCAAGAGTAGCCAGTGCTCTTAACCACTGAGCTGTCTGTCTCCTTCCCAACTCATCAATTTCTTAAGCTCCAAATTCTATGAGTACCATTTAATCGGTGGATGTTTCTGGAATTTGCAGAATATGCCAGGGTAATGTCTTCCTGTCATGTCATTTTGAGGTATACACAGTTGCTCTGAGGAGTCTAGGAATTTGTTAGAAAGGCAGATTCTCGGTTTCAGGCAACCTCTTGTTACTCCAGCTGGCTGTCCTTTGCTGTATAAACCTGCTTTTAAAAAAACAGGCCATCCTAAAGACCTGCCGATCCAGAAACTTAAGTGTAAGACCTAGTTCCCTTGTTTTAACAAGCCCTGGGGTTTTTTAAAACACGCCACAGTGTAAGAATCGCTGGACCAGAAAGCAGAAGTGTTGCATTAAAAACAAATTTCTCTCATGACAGTTGCAGGAAAATGAATACTACTGGAAGTCATTATACTAAATGCAGTAAACTAGACTCAGGAAGACACTACCACATGTTTTCTCTCTCATATGGTAGCCAGATTTAGAATTACATATGTAAATACATTTGTGTGTGTGCATGTGTGTATTTGTGTGTGTTTATATGTATGAAACTAGAATGGGGATTCCAAGGGGAGGAAGTAGAACGAGGTAGTAGATTACGTGTAATAAGAAAGCAGAAGGGACACTATGTGGGGAAGGAAAAGAGACCAACACAAGTGGGCAGTGGGGACAGGAACAAATGAGAACAAAGTATAATAACACTTGTGTAAAGGTGGCATGATAAACCCCTTACTTTATGTGCTAACTTAAAAAATAACAAATAGCTGGATGTGGTAGCCCACACCTTTAATTTCAGTACTTTGGAGGTAGAGGCAGGCTAATCTCTGAGTTCGAGGCTAGCCTGGTCTATAAAATGAGCTCCAGGCCTGGTGGTGGTGGTGGTGGTGGTGGTGGTGGTGGTGGTGGTGGTGGTGGTGGTGGTGGTGGTGGTGGTGGTGGTGGTGGTGGTGGTGGTGGTGGTGGTGGTGGTGGTGGTGGTGGTGGTGGTGGTGGTGGTGGTGGTGCACACCTTTAATCCCAGCACGTGGGAGGCAGGCGAATCTCTGTAAGTTTGAGGCCAGCCTGGTCTACAAAGCTACATAGAGAAATCCTGTCTCTGGAAAGAAAAAAGAAATGAGTTCCAGGACAGCCAGAGCTGTTATACATTTAAATTGTCTTGGATGATGATGATAATGATGATAATAACAATAAATAAGTACATAAACATTTCTAGTCCTTTCCTTAAAATTCCAACTTGGCATTTGCAACTAGATCAATTACTATGGTATATCAACATCACATTATTTTACCTTTTCTTTTCTTTTCTTTTCTGTTTTTGTTTTTCAAGACAGGGTTTCTCTGTATTGTTTTGGAGCCTGCCCTGGAATTTGCTCTGTAGACAAGGCTAGCTTCGAACTCACAAGAGATTCACCTTCCTCTGCCTCCCGAGTGTTGGGATTAAAGGTGTGTGCCACCAACACTCGGTTATTTTACCTTTAAGTCCGTGGCTAATTTAGAGGATATCAAATGACTGAGAGTCTCATGGAAAGTAACTGTAGAGGGCTCCCCCTCAATTCCACCATTGTGGAAAGTCTAATGTGGTAAATGCTGTAGGATTACAGGTGGGAGGGTCGGAGTCATGCTGCTTCCAGGAGGAGGTGACATTTATTGGAGACCTAAAGGCGGATGTGTGTAAGGGACAGACACTGGAGGGTTCTGAATCTAAATGGAACTGGATATGGTAGCGCATTCCTGTGGGCCAGCATTTGGGAGGTCTTGGAGGCAGAGTATCAGGGTTCTCTAGAGAAACAGAACTTATAGAATGAATATATAAAGAATTTATTAGAATGGTTTATAGGCTGTGGTCCAGCTAATCCAACACTGACTGTCTATTAGTGGAAGGTTCGAGAATCCAGTAGAAAAATAAATTGATTAATTAATTAAACTTAAAAAAAATAATCTAGTATATATGCCAGAATCCTGAAGAAGTAGGTTCAAATGCCAGTGAAGAAGTGGACTTGCCAGCCAGAAGAGAGCAAGCAGGCAAAAAGAATAAGCTTTCTTCCTCCATGTCCTCTATTTACCTGTCAGTAGAAGGTATGGTCCACATTAAAGGTGGATCTTCCCACCTCAAAATATCTGGAGTAATATCCAGGTGGTGGTAGCACAGGTCTTTAGTCCCAGCACTCGGGAGGCAGAGCCAGGCGGATCTCTGTGAGTTCTAGGACAGCCATAACTGTTTCTCAGAGAAACCCTGTCTCAAACAAAAAAAAGTGGTTTCTCACTTCAAATGATTTTAATTAAGACATAATCCCTTACAGGTGCCCAGATACTTGGGTTTTAGTCTAGATGTAGTCAAGTTGAGAACCAGGAATGGCCATCACACAAGGGAATCAGAAGTTCAAGACTAGTCTCAGCTAGACAGTGAAACTAATCCTGGCTACATGAGTCCCTCTCTGAAAAATCCATAAATAAATAAATGCACTATGCTCTGAGGGCCTGCCTGGTCGACCTCATGGTTGGGGGAGTACTCACATTTCTCCACTCTTTCAGCCCTTCTGCTGGCGCTCCTCTTGTTGGTGAGAAAGAAGAGAAAGGTCAAAGAGCCCCTTCTGCTCCCAGAGGATGATACCCGAGACAATGTCTTCTATTATGGTGAAGAGGGTGGTGGTGAAGAGGACCAGGTGGGTCACTGGAGGAATTAGGAGGCAGATATGGATGCTCCCAAGGCCCATGATGGAAGTGTTGGGGCCACCCAACGACTTCTGTTAGCTATGTTGACTAGCCCTGGCAGAGGCATCTGTCTTCATGCAGAACTGGCCACCAACTCCCTCTCCTGGGAGGGTATCCAGTACCATAGTCTCTTTGCCCCAGCTAAGTGGCTCTCAAATGTGCCTTAAATTGGGGGGAGGGCAGTTGAAATGGGGGATTTGGGGATATCTGGCTACTTCCAGAGCATCAGAGGGGGGAGATACAACTGGTGGGGAATGGGGCACATTCTCAACCCAACAATTGCATTTGTTTTCTCAAAGGACTATGATATCACCCAACTCCACCGGGGGCTAGAGGCCAGGCCTGAGGTGGTTCTCCGCAATGATGTGGCACCAACCTTCATCCCCACACCCATGTACCGTCCCCGGCCAGCCAACCCAGATGAAATTGGCAACTTCATCATCGAGGTGAGTCATGGCAGACTAGCCCACAGCAGCCCTCTGTCAAGTGCACGTCGCATGGGTGAACAGACATGGGCTTTCTGAATTGACTCAAGTTCAAGTCCTGGCTCTACCCCAACTGTGTGATCTCTGAATACTCAGAGAGAATCTGTGGGCTTCGATTTCCTGCTCCATAAACTCCAAATCTGTAGAAATAGTCTCATCATATATCAAACACTGAGTTATTAGGAAAGTATTCTGGAATCAGACAATCTAGGTTTGATTTAGGGTTTGGGTGTGTATGGTTCTCTCTTTTCCTCTCTCTCTCTCTCTCTCTCTCTCTCTCTCTTTCTCTCTCTCTCTCTCTGTGTGTGTGTGTGTGTGTGTGTGTGTGTGTGTGTGGTTTTCTGTTGCTTGTTTTTAAATTATTTTATTATTTCAAATGTATGGATGTTTTGTCTTCATTCACCACATATGTACAGTATCCCCAGAGACCAGAAGAGGGTGGATCCTCTGGGACTGGAGTTGCACACAGTTGTGAGCCCCCATATGGTTTGCTGGGGATTGAACCCCTTTCCTCTGGAAGAGCAGCCAGTGAGTGCTCTTTGCTGCTGAGCCATTGCTCCAGCCTCTGGTTTTTGAGACAGGGTTTTACCATGTAGCTCTGGCTGTCGTGGAATTTTCAATGTAAACCAGGCTGGCCTCCAACTCCAACTCCAACTCCAATCTATTTAAAAGTTTTTTTTAGAGGGGCTGGTGAGATAGCTCAGAGGTTAAGAGCATTGCCTGTACTTCGAGAGGTCCTGAGTTCAATTCCCACCAACCACATGGTGGCTCACCACCATCTATAATGAGATCTGGTGCCCTCTTCTGGCTTGCAGGCAGACAAGAGCCTGTCCTGGAACTAGCTCTTGTAGACCAGGCTGGTCTCAAGAGATCCGCCTGCCTCTGCCTCCTGAGTGCTGGGATTAAAGGCATTCCCACCACTGCCTGGCAGGAATAAATAAGATTATAATGCGGAGAAAATTGTGGAAGCTGTTGTGGATTACTTCAAGGATTGACAGAGGCCCCCAAACTTGCCTGGCACTGGAATCCTCCAGGGAATTTTCAAGACCACTGGAGCCTCTGACACCCCACACACACTTCCCAAGTCTGGGCCTCCACTGATCTGCATATGACCCAAACCCAGCTTTAACTCCCCAAATAAGTTATTTTGTAGAACCTACAGACTCCCTAAATTGTCTTCTGATCTACAGACACACACAGACACACAGACACACAGACACACACAGACACACACACACACACACACACACACACACACACACACACACACACACTCCTCAGCCCCAACTTCCACCCTCTGTTCCTGTCTTCTGCAGAGATTGAAACAGACCTGCTTGCCTCTCTTGCCTGTTGGAAGTAGTCTAGCAGCAAGCCTCTCTACTTGAGTTTTGTTTGGAAGAGCGCTGCATCAGACACACAGGTGCTCACACCTGGAAAGCTGCATCAGACACATGGGTGCTCACATCAAACACGCGGGTGCTCACACCTAGAAGTGTTGCTCAGGGCTGCTGGCTCAGAGAAGATGCTTTGAGCCTCTTGTTAGATGAGGACAGTTTCTACATAGTTTGCAAATTCTGTCTTAATCCCCTCGTGTGCACATATAAAGACGATGTCCAACTATTGGGTACTAGCCTACTAAGAGTTTTCTATGTACTCAGTTCCTCAAAAGCCACAGGGGCATCACTGTGTTACAGATGGGAAATGGGCATAGAGCAGTTGAGAGGTTTGCCCAGTCTCAAAACTGTTTGAGTTTCTGGCTTGATTTGTCTGACTTCAAAGTCATGGTCTTTGCCCACTGGCTTTGGTTGCCCTGAGCTGCTATGCTAAATACTTTCTATAAATTCCACTTTCAAAGCCTTGGGGGCAGAGGCCAGGCAACCTTGCCTGGGGTGGAGGTGGTAGGGGTATTGAGGTTCAGCAGATGCACTGTATGCCAGAACCCAGGCAGCTGGCAAAGGTCGCCATCCTGCCATTCCTAACTGCTGTGCTCTGTTGCCCTAGAACCTGAAGGCTGCTAACACGGACCCTACGGCCCCGCCCTACGACTCCCTGCTAGTGTTTGACTATGAGGGCAGCGGCTCAGATGCTGCCTCCCTGAGCTCCCTCACTTCCTCCGCCTCCGACCAGGACCAGGACTACAACTACCTTAATGAATGGGGAAATCGATTCAAGAAACTGGCTGACATGTATGGTGGTGGTGAGGATGACTAGGCTGCCCTGCCAAGCTGTCCAGGCAAGAACTAAAGATCAGGTCACAGCGCATCTCCACTTCAGCCAAGGACTCCGGAGCTTGCCAGGAAGTGACGTGCATAGCACACTGCCTCTGACATGAAGGCTGGACTGTAAGCCTTTCAGATGGAAGGATGTGGCACTGACGTCAATGATCCCCTCAGCCGAGGGCAGGGTTGCTTCAGAGGCTGAACTGAGAGGTCTTTGCCTGCCACACAGTGCTCAGCCCCAGGGCCAACTGCTCTGATGCCCATCCTGACTTTCTACTCAATGGTTCCCTCTTTTTAGAAAGAGGCCTCTTCCTGCAGCCTTTTTATTTTGTTTTGTTTTTTTCCTTATGCGATTTTCAAAAAGTTAGAGGCTGGGCGGTGGGGTCAGTGTCCCCTCAACCCCTCTGGAAAAAAAGCCTGCAGGGCTCACTGGTCCTGGTGCATTTCTCTGATCTCCAAGCCTTGAGGCCTCACTCACTGAGATGGATCACTGCTTTATTTTATTTTTCTTTTTTTACTGAGTATGTCTAAATTGTCTTGCATTTTTTGTTTTCTCTGTTGCGTCCTGTAGATGGAGAGTGATGACAATCGTGTAAAAATGTTCTAGAGGTTTTTTTATTAAACAAATTTTTCCCAGAGGTGCTAGGGGAATGAATTTGAAACAAAGCACTTATCTAATCTAATTCTCTTGCCTTACCATGCATTTATGAGAACAGTTCAGTTTGGTGGGTTTTAGACTTTTTAATAAGCTCTTGCAAACCCCCTGACTTCTCAACTTCCCCCTGGTGGTATAGATATGCCCAGGATTTATTGCCCTGTGGGCTCCAGGGCAGAAAGGTGGAAGTAATGCTGTAACAGGCAGGGGGTGGAACACTGACCTCCCCTCCTGCAGCTTCAGAGCCCCGAGAGAACCCTAGTTAACTTCCCCTGGAACTGAGTGGCCCAAGCCTGTAATTACAGCACTCGGGAGGTGACATCAGGAATTCAAGGTCACTAAGGTGGGTGACCAGGGGGAGGGGAAGACGGATCATGGGTGGTGTGTGTCTGTAAACCCAGCACAAAGAGGCTGAGGCAGTTCTCAAATTGGAGGTCAGACTGGGTTATATATCAAGGCTCTTGCCTCAGAAAAAATGCTTTCCTGGCCGGCCAGAGCTTGTGGTGAGACCCTGTCTCAAACAAACAAACATACTGTTGGCTGGATTGATAACCTGTCACATGGTAAGTACAACCACTTACTCAAGACTTCCCAAGCACCACAGCACTTAACTTTGCGATTTCTTTAAACTTGGGCTCACAGTAATCCTCTGGGTGAGGGGACTTTCCTGCAGTAAAGAGAGGGTTTTGTTTTATTTTTTAACTTTTTAAAAAATGATGTGTCAAAGCCAAGCAAAATGGGAAATTAGAGAATTCACTCAAAGCGTTGGTCAAATTAGAATTAAAAATTAGAATGTCCCTGATACTGCCAGGGAGTAAGGATGATATCATCTTTAAAGTGAAGTCCATAATTGTTCTTTTGTTGTTGCTTTATTTTATGTGTATGGCTGTTTTCCCTGTATGTATGACTCAATACAATGTGTGTGCCTAGTGCCCCCTTTGCCCACAGAGGCCCCAGAAGAGGGTGTTGGATCCCCTGGAACTGGGGTTACAGACAGTTGTGAGTTGCTGTATGGGTGCTGGGAATTGAACCCAGGTCCTCATGAAGAGAAGTCAGCATCCTTTACCACTGTGCCATCTCTCTCTCCAGAAAAGACTGAGTGCATTAAATATGGCCATCAACAAACTTGTTCTTTTCAGTGAGTGAAAAGAATAAAGTGGGGCTGAAGAAATTGCTGACGTTACAAGGGATGTTTCTTCCCCTGAGAGTGGCTTTCATTTGTTTCTTTTTGGAGAATGGTCTCTGTAACCCACTGACCTCAAACTCATGATAATCTCACCCTAGCCTCCTAAATGCTGGGATTACATGTTTGAGACCCCACACCTAAGAGTGGGTAATTCTTTTCTAATGTTTATTTTTATGTATATAAATGTTTTGCTTGCATTTATGTATGTACACCATGTGTGTATGGTACCCAGGGAGGCCACAAATAGGTATCAGATCCTCTGGAACTGGAATCACAGCATGTGGTGAGCTGCCATATGGGTGTTGGTGTTATGGGGAGCCCACCAGAGAAGACCAGGCAGATGCAGTCTATAGCCAATTGAAAGTCTTTATTCTAGCTGACTGGGACTACACTCAGGTATTGGGACCCAAAATGCAGCCCCCAGCCTTTAAAGCAAGGAGCTTTTAAAGGCAAAAACTAAATCTTGGTCTCTTGTTTGGCAGCTTCAGGGGGAGGCTTTGTGCAAGCAGGTAGCTTAACAGATGCTAAGATAAGCAGTTAACTGCAGGGAGAGGTTTGCAAAAACAGTCGGTTTAGCAGAAACCAAGAAAAATTACCTGGGGTGGGCTGAAGAGATGTCTCAGAGGTTAAGAGCACTGGCTATTCTTCCAGAGGTCCTGAGTTCAATTCCCAGCAACCACATGATGTTTCACAACCACCTATAATGAGATCTGGTGCCCTCTTCTGTCATGCAGGCATGCATGGGGGCAGAACACTGTATATATGTAAGAAAGAAAGAGAGAGGAAGGGAGGGGAGGGGGCTGGAGAGATGGCTCATCGGTTAAGAGCACTGGCTGTTCTTCCAAAGGACCTGGGTTCAATTCCCAGCACCCACATGGCAGCTCACAACTGTCTGTAACTCCTGTTCCAGGGGATCAAACACCCTCACACAAACATATATGCAAGCAAAACACCCATGTACATAATTTTACAAATAAATAATTTTTTTAAAAAGAAAGAAAGAAAGATAACCCTTGGGTTCTTAGAATAGAGTTGGGTAATTTTTCATGAGATTCTCAATCAAGGAGGTCAAATTCTAGTCAAACCTAAAATGGCCTCTGAAGGAATATGAGATGAAGGAAACAGCGCATGCCTTGTCCTGTCACACTGGGACTGGACCACAGGTCCCCTGCAGGCACATCAATTGCTTTAAACTGCTCTCCAGCCCCAGGAATGCTTAAATCTTTAAAGCAACTGTACTTCAAATCCAGTCCTGGGCTCAGAAGCCCCGGCTGTCACATGGTGGAGCCAGTGGTGAGGTACACAGGCCCCAAGTGATTTGGGTGCATGTGTAGGCTTGGTATGGAGACTGACAACTACTGTCATCTGATGAAGAAGTCAAAAGGGAAATATGGGACCAATGTGATGGCTCAGCAGGTAAAGGTGCCTGCCACCAGCTTTGACAACCTGAATGTGATGCTGGAACCCACATGGTAGAGTCTCCCGAGTTGTCCTGTGACAGCCACAGGTGCACCATGGCCTGCATACCTATGTGCTGGCACACTCATCAAAATATAATAAGTATTTAAGGGAATCATGTAGGTTTCTCACCTTCCTTGCCCTGTTGTATGTTAGCCCCCTGACCAACGCTGCTCCTGCCTGTTCTTTTGAGCCCCTTTGCCTCTGGTCCGACCCTCTGTCCTTGTTGATAAGCAGGTGTGGAAGGGTAGGATGTCCCAGCCAGTCACACCTGCTGCCCCTTATCTTTGGCTCTCCTCTCAGAGGCTGAATGAAGCAGGGAAATCCAATCTGCAGCTAGTCACAAACCGAACAGCCAAACAGCCACAGTTTGGCCCAGCTTCTCCCCTGGGACTTGCAGAGGGTGTCAGAGGAGAAGTGGCTTTTCACAGCCAAACCTGGCCTCCGTGAATGAACCTGGATTCTTTTGACTATGGGACAAATCACCAACCTGAGTATCTGGGAAAAACAGGCCTGGAATAGGCGGTTAGGGTGCAAGCCACACAGTTCTGCCTTGGACTTGCTTCCCATCTACAAAATGAGGTCTTGGCCATGGGGTTCTATAACAAGAACCAGGGGCTGGTGAGATGGCTCAGCAGGTGATTGCTGCCAAGCCTGATGACCTGAATTCATTAATCCCTGGGACCCAACACGGTAGAAAGAGAACTGTCTTCCTAAAGTTGCCCCCAGACCTACACACACACACACACACACACACAAACACACAAGATCCACACACACATGAACATGCAAACTAAAAAAATTAATGTAATTTTTTTAAAACAGAAGAAAAATATTTCCAGAGAATGAGTCACCATCTCTAACTGTTCCTGGTGAGAAATAATCAGCACACCCCTAAAGTCGGCCCCGCTAATGAGGACTGCCTGGGTATTTAGTTAATCTTTTATGCTTTTGTAGCTGTGTGAATCCTCCAATGTTTACCCCCTAGGTGTTGCACCCACATTTTTTTTTTCGAGACAGGGTTTCTCTGTGTAGCTTTGGATGTGTAGCTTTGGAGCCTATCCTGGCACTCGCTCTGGAGACACGGCTGGCCTGGAACTCACAGAGATCCGCCTGCCTCTGCCTCCTGAGTGCTGGGGATTAAAGCCAGCACTTGTGCCACCAACGCCCGGCTGCACCCACATTTTGAGCCACACTTTTACATAACAGTTTGTGGGTCACTTTGTTGTCTCCATCACACCCAATTTGGTATTGATTTGCTTTCACCACCGTCTGTGAACATAAACTCTAGGGTTTGGTTTTGTTTCTAACAACATTAAACGGCCCAGGGCATCCATCTTTGTAGAGGCTTCATAGTCACCTCCAAACTGGTGATGAGAGCTGAGAATGCAGCTCTGGCTGAGGTCAGGGCTGTCTGGAGTGGAGAGTTCAATCTGGGATGATGACCTCTCAGGTCCACTCTTGTCAAATCTCAAATCTCTCCCCAGACTTCTAAAAGCTCCAAGCCCAAGAAAAAAGAAAAAAAAATGAATCTTTAAAGATGGATGTGGTGGCACATGCCAAACATCCCAGTAGAGGGAAGGTGAGGCTGGAGGGGTGAGAGTTCAAAGCCAGCCTGGGCCTCATAGTGAGACTGTCTCAAAACAAATAGCAGCAAAATAAGCTCTGGAGTTTTCCTGTGAGGAACCTATCT